CGTGAAAGTGTTGGACTTTGCCCCCTTTCGTCGTTCGTACGTGAGGGAATTCGAGCTATCATTCAGTAAACTAGTAAACAGATTTATAAAAATAACTCACGCACACAATTTGCACGTGAAGATGTTGGTCTTTGGCCCTTTTACAATTCGTACGTAAAAAAAGGCAAATTGTTTACTACAAAATTTTCTCAAACGATTTTAAGAAATCACCTCGGCTTCATCATAACATCTGCAATTAAATTATGTTTCATGCAACGTCAAGGTTGATAACCTAACATTTATTAACATTTGTGAAACAGTCTTTAACTCCGACAACTTATTTCGTCATGTTTTAAAAGCCATTACGTTTTAAAAGACAAGAGCCTTTTTTAAGGCATTGGTTACAAAACGAAACAGGTCTTCATACGTGCAAGTTACTATTATTATTGTGAAAAGCCAATCTGCATGAGATGTACAGTCACACAGCTGGCACGTGAAAGTGTTGGACTTTGCCCCCTTTCGTGGTTCGTACGTGAGGGAATTCGAGTTATCATACAGTAATCTAGTAAACAGAATTATAAAAATAACTCATGCACACAATTTGCATGTGAAGATGTTGGTCTTTGGCCCTTTCACAATTCGTACGTAAAAAAAAAAAGGCAAATGGTTTTACTACAAAATTTTCTCAAACGATTTTAAGAAATCACCTCGGCTTTATTACAACATCTGCAATAAATTATGTTTATGCAACGTCAAGGTTGATAGCTTAACATTTATTAACTTCCAAGAAAATTATCAAACTGCTGAAATATATTTCTACTTATATCATGTTGCTCCACTCAATATAACAGTATCTAATTATTGTGTCAACTAGCTTCTTCCAATTTTATTCCCTAACGCTACTGTTTCTACTGAAGTTATGCATCTTTACTAAATAGAACGAAAAAGGTCGGTTGAACTTTGTAAGCGAGAGAATAATATTTTTAAAGCTTGTTTACAGGATTAACAATAATCGATACAGCTTTCAAAAAAATAGGCTGCCTTTTAAACTTCTAAAACCACATTTAATAGGGCGCATACTTTCGAATTAAAGTCTATATCTAAATGTCAATTATTGCTTCACTGGAAAAGATTAGAAAATATATGATCTTTTATACTCTACCTAGTTGTAGCAGGTGAAACAGAACTCATACTGACGTGCGTTGTACCGATAGCCGAATTAGGTCAGAAATGCCTCGAAGCAGCATCCACACTTAAATATGAACCCTTAAACAGCTGCATCACTGTTCACAGCGTTTGAATCATGAAGATATTTTATGTAATGCTTCCAAACACCTGTACCCGTAATAAAAGACGAAAAAAATTGTGAAGGATCAAGATGGCGGTCTCAAAGTGCCCTTGTTCGACCTTTACCAATGCCATGTTTAAATAGATGCCAAGATCTCATTGGTTCCTAAGCATCAACTAATAGTACCTTCAACCTTATTGGCTCTTGCAACAAACATCCGAACATACAAAGTTACAAAGCCACAAAGATACATACGCTCACACCACTGACATATGAGCTATTTTTTCAAAATAGCTCAATAACGGAGCATATTAAAATATCCCTAAAAACGATCAGTATCAAATTCCTCCTCGTCATAACAACGCTATAAAACAAAGAATAGGAGATAGCAGGTATCGACCACAGTCCCTTGAAGGTTACGCTTTTCCTCACGTACGGGAACAATAGAACGTGGCGCGTCATGTCAATCATCGCCGAAAATAAACCGCATGCTCATCACGAGACTCATTTGCATACAATGAAAGTCGTGACGATTCTTATCCCCAGTTTCCACGGTCTCCGCTAGGAACGCCTGGGAGTATGACCTACCATTTGGGGAAGACACACAAAGGAAAAAGAAACGCCTGCATTTTTAGAGTCTCGCTCTGCCACAGCAAACTCGACTAAATACTCCTAGAAACTCTTGGTGGAGGTGTGCTGCCCAGTTCCCTGAATCTTGAGCCTGACTAAAATGCTATGTTCAACAACCATTTTTAGACCTGGTCTCGGTCTCTAGCAATCATGACTGAAAGGGGTAGTAACAAACGCGGCCAGTGAACATTTTTACATTGGTCAGGAGCAGTGTGTAAATCATGTCATCATAATCATCGCTTAGAATGTAACGTGGGATGATTTATTTCGGTTATTATTCACGTATAGGTGAGTAGTCCCTCCCCCCTAAATACCGATTTCGCTTCAGTTTGTTCTTCTGTTTCTTACATCGCGGAATGCTCTTTTATTGACCTTCTCGTCTGAGTTCTTCATTTCCTCGTATCTCCAAGGCTTTATTTGAAATGAAGATGAAATAGTGGCCTCTCTGAGAATTTTACTCTGACTAACACTAATGCTTTTTTTTTTTTCGGTGCTTCTTATTTGTTCAAAACTATACTGAGTTGAATTCTATTCTCAGGGCCCGCGCAGGGAAAGGGGCTGGGGGCCAGGCTCCCCCCCCCCCCCCCCCCCACCTTTTGAAAAAAAAAAAAAATAAGAACAAAAAATATTTTATTAAAAGAAAAATATTAGGAAGTAAAAAAAATAAAAATGGGGGACCCCACACAACAACAAAAATTTATATTGATATGTTTGCCGCTCAAACCCCATGCGACTATACACAAAAACAGA